CCCCCCCTCTTTCCCATGGACCCCAGGGGGACAGAGGCGATCCGGACCCCCCCGGGTCCTGCCCTGCCTGGCCCGGCCAGGGAGAAGTTTAAAAAGTGCAAAGGAAATGGCTCTGCGTCCTCCTGGGGGGGGCCTTTGGCTTGGGGTCGCAAGGGGCGTTCGGGAAAGCGGTGCGATCAGGGTGGGAGCGTTCTTTTGCTTTCCTTTTTTATTTCTTTTCCCCTGTAAATCCAGATAGCTCAAGCTAGTAGTCTGTCCTTCTGGCTGGCTGCTAAGGAAGTAGTTTGGTATCCTTTTCTCAGCGGTTTTACACACTGCTGTAATAAGAAGGAACGCTCTCGATGTGCCAGAGAAAATCCTGTTTAAAAGCAAAAGCTCAGGCTTCCATAACAGTTCTCCTTCTGGACAAATCATGTACTCTCTCAGTTCGTATTTATTTTTTGGTGAAAAAGTCCCTCCAAATGATGTGTACTTCTTGTGTGCTATGAATCCAAGATGTTCCTATGTTTGAACATAAAAATTGGTGAGGAGCTTCTTTATAAGAACAGTTGTCAGCATGAGTGGGGAAAACCCTTATCTCTAGCAGATAATGCTTCATAAAAATTATTTTAATTAAGAAATTTTAATCAAAACATTTAAAACCATTGATCACATTTTTAAGGCTGAACTTCAATCGCAGTCAACAGAGTCTGAGGGAAGAAATTTTAGCTTTTTACAAAGAAAAAGAGATGAGTGACGCAGTTTTTATTTATTTGGGAATATGCATTTTATTTAGACTCCTGCCTTTATCAGACTACACACATCGGGATGCTGGCTGGTATGAATTACCATGTCTTCAATGAGGACAAAAAGTCATGCTGGTTTACACTTGCTGAGGGTCTGGCCCATGTATTCCATCACAAACCCCACCTGCCCCTGCTTCTCTGCCTTTGCAAGAAAATAGCTTCACAGTGTTAAATACATTGTAATATCTTTTAGGTCACTTGTCTCTGTATAGCAAAGGGTCCTGAAAGTAGCTTGCTCAGAAAATAGGCTCTTTCAAGTATTTTCTTGAATAAGGGCTAGTTCCCCAACTGCCCAGGTCTTTTGGCTTCAAGGCAACTTTGTCTGGGCCTTGTCTTCACACTAATTCTGGAAATCTGACTCAGATGCTCATATGTTACTTTTGCTATAGCTCCAGTGTGCTACAGGGTTGGATCCTACAGCCTTTGAAATCAGAGGCAGTGTTGCCAGACTTGTCTGAGTTATTCCTGATGTTTTCATTTTTTTGATGCTTGCTTTTCTTTATTTAGATAAGTCCTGGTAAAATTATTCACCTGTGTGTAGAAGTATGAATGGCAGATTGAGTGCTTGGAAAGCTTGACTTTCAGAGCATTTCAAGGAGTTGATTGACTTCTATAATATGGTAGCTGGTAAAAGATTATACCTTTCAGAGCTGTGTTACCTGAACTTGATCAGCACTGCACGATGGTTTAAATATTATGAAGTGCTTCTCCAGCAGACAGGGTCTGCATCGGTTTGAGGAAAAATGCTATCAGCGCTCTAAGCAGAATGTAAATATGAGGAGTGGAATGGTTTGGCTTCGTCTCTGAGAACTGCTGCTGACTAATAGAGTAGGAGAAAATCAGAATGTAGTCAGATATTTCTATCTGTTTGAGGTTGTGCCAACTGGAGTTAAGTGTAACATCCAGAATAATTCACTGTAGTGATGACAAGTGCTTTAAATCTCAGTGTGCAGCCCACCAAAACCTCTGGGATGAGGAGAACAACAGTATAAACAGAAATTATTACAGTGGGCTAGAAATAGCCCATCGTGAACAGTATCCCACACCCAGGGAAGATTAAGCAAGACTTCCCTGCGCTTCACCATAAGTAAGATCACACATTAGATTTTATTTCATCATAAATGGTCAGTTAGCAGTACTGTGTGTAGATGTTATTTCTCTGCTAAGTTCTCAGCCAGCTTTTACAGGAAATCCTTATTAACTCACATAAAAAGAACATTTTGATGGAGGCAGGGCTCATTTTATGTCTTTTGATAGAAAGGAGGGTTTACAAATTCACAGGAGAACTGTCACTCTCATGTGACATGAAAGGCTGTCTGTGCACTGAGATATGCATGTGCATTTCAGAGCTGAAAATCTGGTCTTGTTTTCAGGCACTACCACACACCTTTAAAGCAGAGGCACTGCTGTGATTCTGGGCTGAGCAGTGACAGTAACTGATACTTAAGTTCATTTCTAAGTGCAGTAAGTGGAAGTGCTTTGACAAACAGGAGCTAAAATAGTCATGTTTTACAGAAACACTTGTAATGCTTTAAACTTAGCTGATTTTTTAATGATTATAGGATCTTTCAGCCTGACCATATATGACTACCTCTTGTCTGGATCTTGCTTTGGAGTTACACAGCAAGAACTAATGCATGCTGAGCTCCAGGTAGAAACTGGGGCTGATTTCTGAGAGTTATACCCAGCAACGTTTTGTCTGCTGTTCCCCTCTGACTGCATTTGGGAGGATGGTTTGTTTTTGTCAGTTTGTCAGGGTGTTTTTTGTTCAAGCATTTCTTAAGTGGGCAGAGTATTTGCTTTACTTTCAGTATGGGAATGAGTTAGGGAATCTCTGACAATGAACAAGGAATATCAGCTGTTTGCTTTCAAAGCTGGGTATATTTTTCTGTAGCAAGGAGGGGTGACCCAGAATATTCTCTTCTTGTGGCCATGACCCTAAATCCCGACACTACAGTACATAAATAATTCACTGCTAGTAGTATCACCCTATGACCCCTGTTTAGCCCTCAGCAACAGTAACCATTGCACTCTCTGCTGAGTTAGGAATGCACAAATTGGAAACTGTTTATAGTTTGCAGCTAGGGTTTGAAATGTTACCAACTGCTTGCGGCATGGGCAGCTGAAGCGCTTACTTGCAAGCTGGAGGGAGGCAGTGGTAGTGATGGCCCTGGGGCAGGGGTGGAAGCCCAGCTGTTCTCCTGCAGCTGCTGAGAAGCAGCACTGGGTTCCCAGCAAACTAGCTCTGTATCCTGCTAAAGGGCTGTCTTGTGTATCTGTCCTTGCATGGACTGTGTCCGATGAGTGTTTTGGCTTTTGAAAAGAAGAAGGGAAACAAGCACCTTCTGCTCAGAGTGCTTCCCATTACCCTACTCCTAGGGCATCTTTGTTTCTACAAAGAGGAAAGATATTTGTGCTACTCTTTTCTTTGGTCTCTGCCTTTGCATCCTCTGCTCTGTGAATAATAACTGTGACTGTTTTTATAAATGAACATCCTTTTCCCATGTAGAGACAACAGTTAAATTGATCAATTTTGTGTCATTTTTTTACTCTGTAGCTCTGAATTTCAACAGGAATCAGAGGCAATGGATCTGTTTGTTCACAGTTCCAGGAAGGCTGCATGCAGTTTTGCATGATGCTAACTTGAAATACAGGAGGTTTTCTTTTCCTGCAGGCTGCATCTCACCACAGCTCTTGGGCCCTATGGTTGCTAGAGGGGTCACTGGAGGGTAGCAGGTTTCAGCCCTCTTCGCTAATGGTGGAGCTTGTGACAACTACCTATCTCTAGACTCTAGTTTTTCAAATTGTGATCACAGCTGGCTCATTCAGTTCTGCTCTCTGCTGGTGTGTGTTGCTTGAGCCAAGCAATCAAACTTCATGCCTCCTCAGGGCAGGGAGAGAGTGCTACAAACACACACCTGGCCATAGGGACTATACAGAAGATTTTCTTTCTTGGATGCTGTCACTGCTTGCTTCCTCTTTCCACTGATTTGTTTTTATGCTCTGCTTGTTTTACTCCACTCTGTCTCATTCATCTGACACACTCATGGCCCTTTCATCTGCTCTTTGCCCTGCTTTGTATTGTTTATTCCTGATGGTTTCTGAGTCTCTTCTCTAAAGTGCCCTGTCCCTCTCATAGGCACAGAATACAGGACCACAAGCACGTGTCAGGCTTGATTAAGGTAAAACAGAAAAAGACATTATCTTCTGGCCTCAGAGAAGTTACTCATGACTAGTTCTTCTGTTTCAAACCAATACTGCACCTTAGTGTAGTTGGCGTAACTCCCATGCAGTGAGAAGACCTGAATCTTGTCCTGTTTGCATTGATGAATTGCACATTCCCAGCTGGCCAAATCAAGGCAGGATGTGTATTTGTATGCATGTACCTGTACAAAATATTTTTCCTTTTGCTTCACTTACATGTACTGGGGAAGCTTCAGCTGGAAGCTCTGGTCACAGTTTGCAGTTTGGTAACTGATTTTTTTTGCCATGCTTTCCTCTCTCAATCTATTTTATAAAGAGACTGGCTTTGGTAACAGCACAGAGGCTGCTTGGCTACAGACTTCCACTGGCTGCTTCTGAGTCTTCTCCTTACTTTGTGAACTTCTCCCAGTAAGAGAGGCTACACTCAGAAACCATGCTGCCTTCACCGAATCATTTCAATGTCTCTAATTCCCATTTATTTGATATTTTTCTGCTTCCTAATTAACTTTTTCTATTAGTAACCCTCCATCATAAGGTG